ACAGCCCAGGACATACTACAGAGATCACATTTCCATCAATGATGGTCTACCCTGCATGACAAAAGAAAAGATTAGCATCACTTTTCCTTTTCTTCACTTTACTCTTTTTTAAAATTTCTTTAGGACACATCAGTCATGGATTAAAATCATGAAATCAGGTTCTTTAAGAGTGTTATGACTGGAGATGATGAAACTCTCTGCTCTCAACCCTGGTCACATGGAAACACCAGGGGAGCTCTACAAAACACGGACTCGTTGGCCCCAGCTGAGCTTCAGCATGGGCTATGTATCCACATGTCCTGAAAGCTCCTCAGATGGAGGAGCTTTGATGCGCTGTTGGGTAGAGAAGGAATGACCTCAGCAACAACCCAGGAAGGACCAAGGTGGAGAGCACGCTGATGACAACCTGAAGCAGAACCCAGAATCACTATTACCATTCAAATACCTACAGGAAGCCACTGAAGTGAGTGAAGTAGAGGATGCGTCACACATTTTTAGATCATGTGAATGCAGAGTGAGGCTCTAGCTGACGTTGCCATGGGGGAAATAACAAAAACAGATCCTTTCCCTGGATGGAGTGCTGGGGGAGGACCAAGACTTTCATGTAAAATCACCCAACTTTTAAATATTGGCTCAATTTAGAAAACAGTAGCACTGTATAAGGAAGCACAACATGTAGCCTTTAGGCTCATCTGTCACCCCAGTCTAAAGGGCTGTCTCCACTCTGTAGACGCCACAGCACCAGCATCAGGACAGCAGTAACAACGCCTGGTGCCAGGAAGTCCTTCCTCCCAGTAGTGCCTCTGCTAAGAGGTACACGTGGATTATCTCAAATAGCCTTCGTGGACCTTCCAGGGAGGTGCTGTTGTTATCCACCTAACTCAGTAACAACCCCCGAGGCCACACAGCTAGGAAGTGGTGATGTAACTTTATAGCCTATAGTGAACTATATTTCTTTGGTTTCAAATATGCCTTTAACAATCTCCACTCTGTGATTGCATTTCTTAGTTTTAAAAGAATCATTTATTTCATTTTTAAAATAATTATTACTATTTTTAAATTTGCTACAGAGCGTGTGTGCTCATCAGAGAGAGACAGAGAGAGAAAGGGAAAGTGAGAAAGCAAGCTGCCAGGTCTGGGACTTGAACCACAGTCAGCTATGTGGGAGTCCAGTGCCTTAACTATCATGCCACCTGCTGGTCTCATGTGTTTGCATTTCTTAAAACATATATATATATATAGACCCCACTCCCATCTCTCAACCTCTGGGTCAGGAACTGCAAGGGAGGACTGTCCCCCGAAGCTCCAGTCCCAGGACCCCCAAGCCAGAAATCCCTCTATCAGCCAGGAAGGTCCTCAGCCCTACAGACACCCCACTCCCATCTCTCGACCCCTGAGCCAGGCCCACTCCCATCTCTCAACCCCTGAGCCAGGAACTGCAAGGGAGGACTGTCCCCTGAAGCTCCAGTCCCAGGACCCCCAAGCCAGAAACCCCTCTATCAGCCAGGTACACTTTTCTTTTCTCCTTTTCCTCTTCTTTCATTTGTAAATTTCTCTCTTCTCATTACCACACAGGAAGGCCCTCAGCCCCACAGACACCCGACTCTCATCTCTCGACCCCTGGCAAAATCGCGCGCACGGCACACGACTTTTTCTTTATTTTCCTTATTATTGTCTTCCCACTTATTTGGTCCTTACTCCCCTCATCTACACCATCCCTGGCAGTTTAGATAGGTCTAGAATTACAGTCCTGAGGTATTCTAGTATTTTAAGACTCTCTGGGATCCTCCTTTCACTGAATCACCTGTGAAGAAGGAGATACTTTCCTTTGTACAGCTGAAGAGAATACTTTTCCTTTGATCACATTGCTAAACACAATAGAGGAGAGACTTTGGCAGTCTTCATTCCACAGCAAAAAGGAAACACTCCTTCTCCTATTCGAGGAAACTTTCTCTTAAAAGGTATTTTAAAGGGAACACATCTCCCAATGGTTAGAAGTAGAAGAACCTCAGGTCTGAATAAAGCAGGAAATATGTCTCCATCAAAAGAACACAGTAACTCCGTTCCTTTTCTTGAAAAAATAGAAGACGTTACCAAAATGTCCAAGATAGAATTTAGAATATTCATGTTGAACAAATACTATGAGCTGGAACAGAAGATAGACAATGAACTACGGGAGATGAGAAAGTCCTTCCACAACATTAAGGAAGAAATGGACACGCTAAGAAAGAATAAGATGGAACTATTAGAGGTGAAGTTTGTAATACAAGAAATCAAAAACTCTCTTGAAAGTATTAAAAGTCGACTAGACCATGCTGAAGATCGAATCTCTGATGTAGAAGATAAAACTTCTGACCTAGAGAAAACCACCCAAAAGATAGAGAAAATAACAAAAAAAAAATGAGGATAACATACGAGAAATACTAGATTCCATTAGACGTCCTATCGTCCAAATAATTGGTATCCCAGAAGATGAAGAAAGTAATAAGGGCATGGAAAACCTATTCCATAAAATCTTGGAAGAAAATTTCCCAAGTCTAGAGAGGCACTCAGGCATCCAGACCCAAGAATTACAAAGGACCCCAAATAGAATCAA